CTCTCTCTCGCTCTACACACACACACACACAGCGACACACACACACACACACACACACACACACACACACACACACACACACACAAACCGCACGACTACCAGCGCACCTTGCTGAACCGATTGAGGATGCGACCAACGGGGTTCGTGTCGAAGAAGCGGATCGGGCTGGCAATGACCGCTGCGAACATGTTGTCGTGCAGGCGGCGCGACGCCTCCACGAATCCCAGCTGGAACATGATCGCACGCAGCATTGCGCCCGTCGCCAGCGCTGCAAGCAGCCCGCAGTAGCTGTGGTGGCGGTGGTAACACGAGAGAGGGGGAGGGGGGCGTGAATGCGAATGAGAAAGAGAGAGAGTGTGTGTGTATGCGTGTGGTCAGTCGAAGTGGTGAACGAAGTAGAAACGTGCATGGCGAACACCCAACGGGAAGATGGCAGCTGTGTAACACTCCCCCGGTACTCCACCAAGAAGCACCAATCACCACCAATCACCAGCTCCAAGAGCAATTCTCGCCACCACGTACATGCCGACTTGTCTGGAGGAGTTTCGCTCGCTGTCTTCAAGATCAACCCAGTTGGCGAGGAACAGATCCACGCCAATGTAAAGCGCCTGTACAACAGGGACAGACAGCAGCAGCGCTGGTGGTGGCGTGTGGTGTGTATGCGAAGATGTGTGTGCACGTGTGAATGGGAAGTGGCGAGAGAAAACTCACACAGCCGTGCGGCTGAAGTGTGCGAATAACAAGGCAGCCGCGACAAGTCACACAAACACACACACACACACACACACAATGCTACAACATGAATGAGCCATTCGACCAACAGCACGCCCAAACTCCTTCTCTCGCTCTGCCCTCTTCGCTGTGCTTGTTCCTTGCCCCACCGTGACTCCTCTACACCACCACCACCACCTATCTGACCCACCGATGATAAAAAGCGTGCTGCCCATGTGCTTGAAGTACGTGGTATACGTCGACCACGTGACCTGCCCGGCAAAGCGGTCCTCCTGCTTGAACAGCGCGTTGGCGTTGGAGTCCGTGCTCTCGGCGCTCTCGTCCGCACCCTCGCCTCCTGTGTTCAAGACAGCATTACGGGTACGGGTTGCGGCGTGGTGAGGAGGAGAGTGGTACCGCACAATGCGCGTGTCAAGACGCACTTGCCAAGCTGCTCTCATGCAGCCATCACAGGAAACAATGGATAATACGCAATTTACCTACACAGTGCACACACACACACGCGCGCACGAGACAATTCATGCAACAACACCTGCGTCACACATGTCGCTCACCTGATTCGGACACCTGGCGACTCCTGCTCTTCGATTCGCTCTGTGCGCGCGACCGCACGTTGGACGTTTCCCCTTTACCATCAGCAGCATCCTCCTCATCTTTATCGTCGTCCTCATCTTCATCATCGTCATCGTCGTTGTTGTTGTCATCGTCTTCTTGTGCCGCTTCGAGCTCGCTCATCTGGTAGCCAAGTCAATCAAGGCAGTTGTATCATTGAGGAGAAGACAATACGAAACGGTAGGGTGAATGGTTGACGTGGATGAGGAGTGACGAGGGAGGGAGAGAAGTGGAAATACACACGCGCACCACAGGCGCACGCGCGCACGTAGTGTTGTGGTTGACAAGAATATAGCAATGGTGGTGAACTCACCAGCGCCTCGCACTTCTGCGCCAAGAGATCGGAGTAAACGCCTGGACACACACAAGGTAAGTTGCACACAAGGCAGCACAACCAGGGGTGAGTGGAGTGGAGTGCAAGAACAGGGGTGGTTTGAACAAACATGTGCAAACAGAACACACGAATGTCGCACTGTAAACATGTCACCGAACCACAATACATCACACGCACACATCCACACATCCACACACACATCCACACATCCACACACACATGCACACTTGCACACACACACACACACACACATGCACACTTGCACACACACACACACACAACACACACCTTGCGCGGCGACGCGTCCGTTTGCGTCGAGGACGACGACGAGGTCCGCCTTGGCGAGGTGGTGCACCTGATGCGTCGCCAGCACGCGCGTCTTGCCTGCAAGCAACCCGCAGATGCACTCCTCAAACAGCACCCGCCCGACCTGCAACGTGGGTTTGTGTGTGTTTGTATGTATGTGTGTGCATGTGCGTGTGTGCATGTGTGTGAGCGAGTGAGCGTGTGCGTGAGTGAGCGTGTGTGTGTGAGTGTGAAAGAGGCAAACAGTCAATCATCCAATGTCAACTGTCTGTTTCTGTTTTCTATTTACCAGCACCCCAACCAAGACCCCAACCAACACCCCTCCCTCCTCATCCCTCATTCCCCCATCCTCTCCCTTCCACCACTCCGCACCTTCGCGTCGACGGCGCTGAGCGGGTCGTCGAGCAAGTACACGTCTGCCTGGCGGTACACGGCGCGGGCAAGCGAGACGCGGGCCTTCTGCCCGCCAGAGAGCGTGACACCGCGCTCCCCAATGAGCGCCTGTTCCCCGCCGGGCAGCAGCTGCAGGTCGCGTTCTAGCGCACACGCGCGAATGACGGCTGCGCGGCGGGCCGGGTCGTCGGCGGCGCCAAAGAGGATGTTCTCACGCACGGTGGTGGCCAGGATCCAGGGCTCCTGCGACGCATAGCTCACGCGCCCGCGCACACCGGCACTGCCTTTGCTCGGCAGCAGCTCCCTGGGGGTGGTGTGGTGGGGAAGGGGTAGTTGGTGTGGGGGGGGGGGGGGTTGGGGAAAATGAATTGGAAGAAAATGGGGGGAAGGAATAAGTTTGGGGAATTCTACCTGAGGTATTTACAGACATAAAGTAAGAGCATATAGCCGAGGCGTGTTTTGTAT